TGACAGTATCAAAGCCTTGAACATTCATGGCTGTAAGAAAAATGCTGTTATTTTACAAAAGGATTTAGATCCTTTAGCAAGTTTGACAAATAAATGACAGATGGCTTTTAATTATAATAAATGCAAGGTAACACATATGGGTTATCACAATTTGAATTATATGTATAATTTTGATGAGAATAACCTTAACAATGTTATGAAATATGAGGATCTTGATATTCTTGTTGATCATTCTCTCAAACCATCCAAGCAGTGTGCTGTTACTTGTGGTAAGGCAAGTAGGATTTTAGGTTGTATCTAAAAAAATAATTAGTACAAATCTAAATAGGTTATAATTTCATTGCACAGGTAACATGTTAGACTACATATAGAGTATTGGGTTCAGTCTTCTCCTTACCTTAGAAAGAACAATAATTTGTTGTACAGGTTTCAGAGGAGGACAACTAGGATGATACTTGGGAATAGAGTGGTTGTCATACAAGCACACTTAGGATGGAGTGGTTGTCATGTAAGGATAGGTTAAGATCTCTGAAATTGTTTGCTGTTGAAAATGTTTAGAGGGAATCTGATTGACGAGTTTAAGATTGTTAAAGGAAATGTCAGATTTGATGCATCATTTTTTTTCATACTTAGAGGACTAGGAGACAGAAATACAAAAATTTTAACAGGGTGTTAGTCTTCTTCAGCTAAGACAGTTTTATTTCTATAACAGGGTGATTGGTCTTTAGAATAAAATGTCCTCAGATGTAGCAGATACAGTAAATTTAACTGTGTTTTAGGGAAGGCTTCATAAATATTTGAATGATAAGAGCTGGCTTTGAGTTTTTTTTTTTGTTATCTTAATAGGTTTAGTTTAGTAGCTGGGATAGCCTATATATACCAACAGGTCCCTTGTCCTTAAACGTTATATAATAAATATGACCTTCATAATGTGCAATGATAAATAAACATGCAATAAGGATAGAGATGTGTCAAATCATACTTTTGTTGATTCAAAATAATAAATGTTTTACTCATTTTGCACTGGAGTATTATTCTGTACAAAATAGTGACTAATATTATACCCATGACAATCCTATTCTCCACTACCTTTATTAAGTGAAATGGCCCATGCTGTTAAGTTTGCCCCTTTGTAAAGTGAACCAACAACTACAGTATCCACGTGTTTGATCACCTAGATGTAGTTATACTCGATCCTCAAAACTAAATGCAACTTATGTTGACCTGTACCTAATAGTAATCTATATAGTCACTGTTCTGTTCAGTGTTTTTTTCACTTATAATCAGTGTCATAAACTTATTTATTTTCATAAACAAATCTTTTTGTAATTTTAGTAATCTTGTGAAAATTTGTTGGAAGAAACCCATGGAATGGTATTAATCTTACTTTCAGCTTGTTTCAAGTTTCTTACTACACTATACATTGCATATATAATATTAAATTTTCATATACAACGGTGTAATATTAAAGTGCAAAGAAAATCCATTGTAATGATGCAGCATTTTATGTATAGAACTTTGAATTTTTATTGTTTATATTTTTCATGTTTTTTTTTTTTTGCATAATTATAAAGTCTATGTTAAAAGGTAATATAAGCCAAGATTAGCAACTTTAAAAATTTTATATTTGATAAACAGTAGAAATTAATGTAACAGATGTAATGTAATTTCAACCTTCACTACAACTGGGTTTTATATACTCACTGAACTCTTGAACTTCGACCAAACTATGTTCATTTCATAGCATGCGCTTAAGCTGTACTTGTATGACATTTTTTGCATTACTTTAAGATAGGAAAGACTTAAGTGGTAAAATAGAGTTGACATTTGCATTTTCAATAACAATACTTGATATACAGAAGATGAAATAATGAAATGAATAATTAATGTTTCTATAATTCAAATATCAATGACCATTAATACAATTAACTAGAAGTTTGAAATTCACTTTATTTACATAGTGATTCTGAAAGCAAACCAGTTTTTTTATATATTTATTCAGTAGCAAAACTTTATGATTTAACCACCTTTTAAAACAATAATCACCAGCAAATTACTAAGTTTTATGAACTAATGATAGTTCCATTAATTTTTATTAAAAAAATGAGATCACAGACAAAAATACTAATAATTAAAACTTAACATAAGAAATAGCGGCAATGTTCTAAAGACAAGTGCCTTTTCCTAACTTGTGTAGAATTAACAGCAGGCCTAAGAATAAGATACTTACTGCAATAGAAATTATATTTTTCTGCAACATATTTTATTGAAAATCTTACTTTTAATATCTTAACATAACAATGTTTTGGGACAACATGAGACCTGTTGGTCCATCTTGGCTGTCCCATCCTCTAAACTAAAACTATTATAAATAAATTTTAAAAAAATCTTAAAGCCAGCCCTTATCATTCTTGTACTTATCAAGCATTCTCTTTTATACTCACTTAAATTTACTGCCAACACAACATCCAAAGGTAACCCATTCCAAAAGCCAACCACCTTGTTATAAAAATAAAACTGACTCAGCTGAAGATGACTCCTACCTTGCCAAAATTTATATTTATGTTCCCTAGTCCTATTATTCTCACCATTACATATGAAAAAAGATGATGCATCAACAATTCCCTTTACAATCTTAAAGACCTGAATCATAATCCCTCTAAATCTTCTTTTTTCAAGAAAAAATAATTTCAGAGATCTTAATCTCTCCCCATATGACAACCCCTCCATCCAAGGCACCATTCCTCCTCTGAACCCTTTCCAACAATTAAATGTCCTTAAGATAACAAGCCCAAGACTGAATACAGCCAATTAAGTTGGTCTGATGACTTCATTGCTTTAATAAGCACTATATTACTTCAATATCACAGTATTTTATAAGATGCTGTTATTTTCACATACTAATAAAATGACATCAACCATGTAAAAAACAGCGATATATATGAACGAACCTAATGTGACAAATTTTAAATCCTTTCAAGAGTAAAATAAAGCAACAATATTTTAGCTGCTCATGTTCAGAAGATTGTGACCACCAATCGTCTTTGTTAAAACATTATAACATATAAACCAACAAGCACTAAAAGGCTATAGAAACTTCATCGTACATTTTGTAACAGATGTTACACACTGCTTAAACATTTTTATAACAAATAAAACTAATTTATTTCATTATTAACTTAGATTTTTGGAGTTAACAGCATTTATTAAGCATCCTCACTAATAATGATAATGTATATCATGTTCATGTATTACAGATATACAAACTCCATGAAATACAACTTGTTCATTTTTAATTAAGCACATTCATTACAGCTGCCAGGCTCATAGAAAAGTCTCACCTCAACTACCTGTATCTTTTTATGAGATGAAATAAATCTTATAGTGAAATGGTGCATTTCTTAACTGAAAAAACATTAATTGTTTATTTACATTTAATTTTATATTTTTTAACACTGTACTTCAATAAACTTGAAACTACATTTTATGACTGGGGCCAGGGCAATGTGGTCATAAAATCACAATCTATTAGCTAATAACTTTGAAAATATGAGAGAGAACCTTGAACCCATCATAAATGTAAACAAAATTATAGCAAGTAGAATTAAATATGAATATAAAATTTAAAATAAAGCCTACAAATTACTTATTTTTAAACTTTTAAGGGAAAAAAATCAACAAAAAATAGCATAAATTAGACTAACCCTCGAAAAATACCATACTTTCATAATGTTTTTTGTTTGTAAAGTCTAAAAACACAACAAACATACCACTGCTTAGAACTGTACACTAGAGCTGTGACATTCTGAAAGTTTTTTCTAAAATAGAGTGTAATCTTACCAAGTACACAAGGTTGTGGTCAAGTATTGTTGGAATTCTGAAATTCATCTATATAGATGTGATTTTTATGATATCATTAGAATCTTCTGCAATGCTCTTTGTTTGGAGTATTTTAACTTTCAGGTATCCTGAACAATAACTTAATATGCAACTATTTGGCCCGCTACACTCAACAACTAATAGCCTAAAGAATCAAGTTTTAAAATCTATTTTACATATACTTGATGCTTAAAAAAATTCAAATAATTGAAAACTCCTAACTGCCCGAATGAGAAATAAATTCACTCGCTCAAATAGCTAGTATTTGTTTTAACACAGGTGACTGTAGAAAAATAAAGAACTGAAAAAAAGGGCTCCTTATAGTTTATAAGTTGTATATATATTGCAGCATTAGTTGCTAATAAAATCTCATGAAAGAAGTAATGGCTTCAAATGGTTGATGCACTGACAGCCACAGCTTACAACAAAAAAATAAACTTGTCATAAGTTGTTCTGAACCTTTATAAATAACAGTCAAAAGAAAATTAAAACCATGTAAAATTACATATAAAATCATCTATGACAAGTCTGTGTGTGTGTGTGTGTGTGTGTGTGTGTGTATGTTCATGAAAGCACACAATTTCAAGATTTGGGTTCAAAGTGTATCAATATTACCTGTCTCATATTCCAAAATGACTGATTTCAATTTGTTGAACATCAGATGTATACAGGTATGTGCCTTTTAACTGAATTGTATCATAACAGTTAAATATTCTGTTAAGATACTTTAACCCTTTACAACTGTAACTTATTATATTGCACCATATATTATATTAACAAATAAATCATCTTAACTCATTAAGTGGTTGGTGAAGGTTTATAAAAATTTTATCAATGCATTCATTGATACATAAAATGCTTTGAAAAAACTCCCTTATTAGATTTATAATATAATTACAAATATGAAAGTTTCATTCCTTTTAAATAATTAACTTAAAAAGTATGTGCTTTTTTAATATGCTTGTTGTTGTTGTATTAAACTTAAAATAGGTCAGATGAGTCAACAAAATATAAGTCAAAAAGAAACTGCACTGAATCATAAGACTATACTATACTGTACACACTATACAATATAAAATTTATTTTAACTTGTACTGGCCTACAGCCACAGTCAGATTAACTCTGATGGAAGTCCGAGGCTTCTAAATTTTGTGGGGCCTCTCCATGCATATTCAATTTCTTCCTTAACTGATGTACCATCCCCTTATCCAGACTTAAACACTGATCCAACGTCAAATTGGAACTTTCTTCATTATGTAAGGGCATGTTCTTTTGATCTGCACATTGTAATTACATTATTATTTAATAACTTGGTATATGCTTTTATACAAGATATGTACTTAACAAAAACAAGAAATGGGCAATATGTTTCCTTACACATACTTTATATCTTGAGAATAATAATAAAAGAGGAATGCAGCTTTTCAAGTGGAGATGTCATTGGTATTTTAAATAGGATTCTCTTTGAATTTGACTGCAAAGCTACGTTTTAACTTATACCACATAGTCCCTCCTTTAATAAAAGATCAGTGGTGTAGGAAGGAGTTACAAAGTGGGGGTACTTAACTGAACATGCAGATAATACAGTAATATAACTTACAATAGCTATACAAGTCAAATATGTAAAAGTGGGGGGGTGCTGTCACCCGCAGTTCCGACGCCTCTGAAGATGTCATTTTGATGATAATACATTATACAGCCAATCAGCCGTGTCACACGCTACTTTAGTTTTAATATATTTATAAATTAGTAGCTTATATATTTTTACGAACCCCCACCCCTCAAAATTTGGGATCCTGGGCTTCTACCCTTGTGTTAATCCGGCCCTGCCTATAGTGAAGTACAAAATTGCAATACTGTCAATAGTTCTGTTTAAGTATAACTAATAACTATAGTAAGTACTTCAGCAACCGATAGAAATAAATTACTTATTCTAAAGGTAAATTTCATACTTACTTGCTTTGTCGTGATCGAAACCAACTATAACAAAATAGTCGGCCAGACGTGACATGCTTCTAACTACACAAATGTGATTTTTTTAGGCGTACTTAATTTACGTAACATTTTACTCTCCATTTGATCAATCCACCATGAAACCTACTGCAACCAGAAGCAGTAACAAATTTTCATCAACACTAGAGGTCACTATCATAAAATGAGAGAAAAAGTAGGAACCGAAGAGGAAGAACCTTGCCATATTTAATTTAATACATAAAAATATTTATTGGAAGTTTCACAGATTGCATAACGTAAGAGTTAAAAACGGGGTATAGTAGTCAGAAGCATGTGGCTTTATCCCAATACCATAGCAAAATAAATTTAAAACGTTACTGTTAATATTACATCATCTCTTAAAAGGAAAGAATTAAGGATCATAACTTTTATCAATATAAGCTTCTTTTTCATATTCCAGTTTATTTGTTTTTAATAAACCGACTATATTTTATGTAAACATTTCTGAAAACAAATTTGTGAGCCATACAGGGCCAAGTGGTTATTTCCAGGATTTCATGTCTAAGATTTTGAGCCATGAGATGTCTCTGAGCCTGCTTCGCCCTTTTATTTTTAGAAGCGGCGCTATAATCATAACAGTAAAATCAACTTTTCGGTTAAGAGTTGCCATGCAAGCAATAAATGATATTAACTGGTTGCTTTCCAAATGATCAAAAGCTCTAAATTAAGATGGCTGTGTTATAATGTAAATGTGTGGTATTCTATTTTTTCACAACATATACTTCATTGCCTCAAATTTAAACCAATTTGGACACCGAGTGAGTGCTCCACCAACTGAGATAAACAGGTAGCCCCATAGTGCTTGTTAGTAAGGCACTTTTGAGCAACTCAGGCGTCTTCATTTGCACAGGAATGTTGTGAAATATACACCATTTTGAGTATCACAGTTCATAGTATAATTACATATCAAACATTTTCTCTGCTTTTGTATAATAAAAATTCAGAAATGTGTGTTGTTTGCTTAACTCTGTTTGTTGTTTTGATAAAATTTAAAATACAATTAAAGTCGAGTGATCACAACAGTTTTGTTTAACTAGTAGTAAGTAATACTACTTGGCTTGTGGTGTGGTATTTTCAGCTAAAAACTGACTTTTGGACAAGTATCAGATAGATGGACCTACTAATAACAGCAGATTCACTCAGGAAATAAAGAGAGTAATTCTTAATATTATTGCGTCAGCGAGGTCACGTGACTAGTATCACGCCACTCCTTCTCTCGGACCT